TTGGGAGCCGCTGAACAGCTGTTCGGCGGCTCCAAAATGGCCACCGGAAGCCCGGAAATGGCTGCCGGCAGCTGTTTTCACGCCCTGGCCTCGCTTAGCGAGGGCGCGAAAATGGCTGCCGGCAATTGGAATCCTCGCTGAATGGGTAAGTAAGAAAGGTATTGGAACGCATTAAACTAAGTTTAATGTGTTTCAATACGTTTTCCCTACCCATTTAGCAACGATTCCGCATAGCGAGGGTTAATCCGGAACGGATTAACCTCGCTATGCGGAGCACCACTGTATCTGTAAATAATTGACATTCTACTATTGGCCCACACAGCTGGCTGTGATATGAAAAGGTAAAAATAAGATGTTCTACAGTATCATATTGCAGATTTTTGGAACAAAGATTGTAATGCAAGGGAAGGGTTCTAAAGTTTCTGTTCTCTTTAAAGACATTCCCTTCATTCTCAAGTAACTTCTCTTTCCTTTTAACAGAGAAAGTACCTACATTACTGTTATAAAGAGGACAATAACTGCTGTAACACTAGTATTTCTATGACCATTAATATGTGACATAGTGCACTTAATCTCTGGATGATCATATTTCTTTACAAATCATTAGGAGTCATATTCTAGTTGACTGGGGGAGGAGGGGAGGTACTTATTGAGAAAACAGCCATAGTTCTTTCCCCCAGAAAATATTTTTTTCTATTTGTGCTTTTTCATCTTGGTGACCACATGCCAAGATGAAAAAGTTCATCTTGGTATGTGGTTCTAAAGTGCTTTAGTGTACAGAAGCACAGTTCCCCTAAAATACTTATAATGATCAATGTCTGAAATGTCTCTGAAGTAAAAACATCTATGCATAAAAATGTTCACAAATATATTCTATTGACCCTAGAAACAATTTTGTACATATTTTTCCACTTTAAATCTTCAGCTTCAGTATGTCAGTTTTGCTGCTTTAGTGTTATAGCACGGTCTTTCCATCAGTGTTGCTGCTGCAGTATTTTTGAAAGGAGAAGTGATGCTTCTGTCTAAAACCAGCTCCAGCTCTTGAAAATCCTGAAGCCTGGCAACATCTTTGTCCTTGAACGAGGAGGAAAATAATGTTATTTAATTGATTGGATATAATATTTCTGTAAAACGGTCTTAACAATGAAAGCAAATCAAAAACCATTTAAAAGGTTGCACTAAGATTACCAAATGGAATGCTGTACAGTACTGTACTGTGTCCTGCCTGAGTTATGAAAAAAAATTCCATATTGTTAGAAGGAATTCTCCATTGATATAACCCTAAAGGTGCAGGAAGGCACAAAGATTCTCTGGACCAGAACATAGGTTCTTTTCCTTACATAACCAAGAAGGATTTTAATGTTTGCTCAAGTTGAAGAAAAACAGACTCAGGAGATACAAACGCCACTAATTTCTCTGACATGTATACAGCAGAGATTTTCATGGCCTAACTGCAATAACTGTTTATAACTGTCCTCTACAAAAGCTCATTGCGGCTTAGGCTGCTATTTATCATAGTTGCAAATATAGATTACTGTAAGCACTAGTTGTATTGAAGGACATTTTTAAGTGCCCAAAATGTGCATAAAGACAGAAAAACAGATGCAGTGGAATAGATGAGAGCCAGATAACTCGTGACTATAGAGCACATCTGCTTGCAGAAGGCATGAGGTGGAGGTGTCACTAGTCCTATAATTTTCATACTCCTGCTGGAACAACCTTTGGAGAATGTGACATTCTCTGCTGTCCACACATGATGTTTTGGATCCTGTGCAGATTTTTAAAAATGTGTTTCAATAAAATTATATATGGAGGCAATGATGGGTATGGTCTAACTTTGGGCGGGATCACCTATTGGCTGTGAAAGGTGTTGAGCACTGTAGCTTGGAGGCAAAAAGCTTGACAACTGATTGATTGATTGATTGATTTAATTTATATGCTGCCCACTCTACCCAGAGATTTGAATTGTTAAGGGATATTCTTGCATAAGGCAACATATATGTCTTGTTGCTCTGCAACGCATCCCCATTGGAGCTAAAGCACAGCTAATACGATAATTATGAATTTGTTATTTTCTGGGGAATAAACCTAAATCAACAGCTCTCCAATAACATGTGCCTCAGAGGTATTTAAAAAAGAGAGGGTCAATGGCTATACATGACAATAGCCTGGATTTGTTTTTATATTGTTCTGCAGTAGGTAGGCATTCATTCCTATCAAGGTCAAATTGCTACCCTTTTAAGCATATATAAAAGAATATGTAAGCAGCACAGTCCGAAACAGCCTTCAGAAGAAGGGAGTGGTAATATTGCTAAACCAGGTCTGAGTAAGTTTATACCTTGAAAACGTTGCCATAAATGGGAGCTGATAACACCATGTGATTGCTTTTATTACCTTTCTTATCAGTGTATTTGGTAGCTTTCTAATCTTCTCCACTTGCTGAGGGTTAATGCCCAGTTCACAGCAGCTCACTCTGAGTAGATCCTGGTAAGTCAAGCCTTGTCTATCCAGTTCAATTTCAATGAAGTCATTCTCTTTAGTATTTTGAACTCTTACTTTGAGCACTAATTCTGTATGTTTGTGTAGAGAGAAAAATGATGTGTTATTTAAGTAAGTTAATCATCACTAGAAATGGCAGTTATATCCCTAAAATCCCAGACACATTTCCTTTGATGTATAAGCCCCATCAATTTCAAAATGAATTCACTATGAAAAAGAAGCTTTCAGTCACAAGTGGGTGCAACGAAATGAGGTGCTCTTCCCCAAGGTAAAACTGGACAACACTACAAAAAAAAAGTTAAAATATACACAACTTTCACCATCTAAATATAGATACCCCGTTTTCTCTCAGCAATTAAAATCCACCAAAAACCTATGGCCCCGCATTTAAACTCAATACTGCACTTGGGTAAAAACTGTTCTTGAATCTGCTTGTCCTTGCTTTCAATACCCTGAATCTCCTATGAATTCACTATGAAAAAGAAGCTTTCAAAATTATAGCTTGTGTTACTTGGTGTGCACTAGGACTACCAGGGCACAAGCAAAGAAATATCAGTAGCAACAAAAGCCTATTGAAGGCTTCCCACTCTCCGGTGGGAAGAGTGAACAGTTGGCAGGCTCCCAGAATCATTTTCACCCCAAGTAGGACCCCAAGTGCCACCACTTTTAGCCCGCCTAGTGCAAAAATACATGCTTTGATTTTAGAGAATTCTCAGTTAAAAGTGCACTGTACAGAATTCATAGTCATTCCACAGGAAATTCAAAGATTTCTTGGCTGCTGAATGAAAAGGCTTCATTTCAACAGTATAATTTAGGGCAAAAAGAGTAATTATGTTGCTGCTATTGCTAAAACATTGAATCATAAATCTTACCAATCTATTGAAAAACCATCAAGCAACCTACAGCTAGTTCAGAACTATCTTTTGCCCACCTTTAGACTACAATACAAAGTACAGTGCTTAAGTTCTATTTCAGTACAAATGTAATATTTTTCATTAAATCCTGCAAATGTGCACATCAAACAATGTGTAACTAATTTCAGCACAGTTCAGGTGTAATGTTTAAAACAATTTGGCCCTGAATCCTCAAAATTACTCTCCATCAAATATCAATAAAGAATACAGGGGACTTGTTTTGATAAAAATCTGGCATATCTCTTTAAGAAAAAAATGGTTTAAAAGTATCTCTGAAATACAGCAGATAGTGTTGCACATTTTACTCTCCATACAGGCAGTACAAGAGCATTATAATTAAACATGACACATGTTAGTACCTTGTGCATTATATGGGAGAGTTCCTGTAAGTAGCAGTGGTTGTAATGGCGACGCACTGTTCGTACAAGTGCCATTTTCTTGGTGAGATGCATGCTTCTTAGGTGCTGGTGGGGGAAAGAGAACTCTGTTGCGATTTGCAAGTGAGGGATAAATCGGGCAGTTCTGGACTGTCTTTGGCTCCAGCTCTGAGTGTGCTGATGCTGCTGTTCTGATGGGAGAAGTAAGCTGTCCATCACTGTAGTCTCCCCCAGAAAGTTCAGTTTCATTGTGGAAGGAGATGACTGTGCAGACTTTTCCAGTTTGAACTGCTGAGAAGCAAGGGCTAAAATTAACCTCAGGTGGTGCTGATGTACCACAGACACTGTCCCCTGCTTGACTGTGGTTGTGAGGGAATGGGTTTGTTGGATAGTTTGCAACAATTGGTGGCTTTGCATCATCTGCTTCTTGGTCACAATCCTCCACTTGAGGGCAGAACCCGGGGGGGGGGTGAAGAGAAGAAGAAATGTAGTATTTTAACCACTTTTTGTAATTTACAATCATATATAGAACATTCCTATGCCTTCTGGAAGAATTTACATTTGATAAAGGTATATTTAAAAACATAAATGACTGAGGATTTTTAGCTTGAAAAGCAAAGACCCCCCCCCAAGAGAACAGACAAAAGAAAATATATGAGGCCAGGAGTTGGATTAGCAAATGATTTGGTTTGCGATATGAATGTCCTGCAGCAACTGAATTGATTGGGAGAGGCTGGTAAAGAAATAAAGTGTGTTTATATATAACATGGCAAACTGCATTACTGAAGAAAACTCCAGAAATTACATACAGTACTTTACTTTAATTAGATTTATACCCTGTGCCTCTAGACCAGGTCTACTTGGGGCGGCTTTCCAGTTTGTTTTGTTAAAAATCAAAATCATACATCAATAAACTGGAAGGACAAACTTGCCCAGAGCAACTTTGAAAAAATGCTTGAATCCCTATGTTTCTTGGCAAAAGAGTAGAATTTTCCGTGTACAGATTAGGTTCTATCAAGTTTTAAATTTGCCACACAAGTACTGTATCGATCGCCTGTTTACCTAGAGACTGTCATGTTTAAAGGCGATCCGTGGAAATAATAAATGGCATTTGAAATGTAGAATAATTTCCATTGACCTTTAGCTGTATGCCTTGTCCTAAAACGTAGGCAAGAATCATATTAGTTATGCTTTTTGGTTTAACTATTTGTGTAAATCTCAATTGTGAATTACTGCAAGTTTATAAACCTGTGTTGAGTATTTGCGGTTGCATACCAGCCACGTGACTTGGTGTGCAACAATAAATACATGTGCTATAGGTGTGCAGATTCATGGTTTTTGACTATAGCTCCAAACTGTTGTAGTCCAAAAGTGTAAACTTGAACGCTTAATTTTATTATATGTTATTTTTATTTATTTGGTGTTATTTGTAAGCTGCCTTTTTCCCGATGAAGGGACTCAATATGGCTCACAACATCTCTAGCCTATGTTTATTTCTTAACTTTTGCCAATTTGCAACTGAAATATATGCCATCAGAGTAATGGCAATATATTTTTTTCATTTGAATTACAGCAGTTCTCCTACATTGATATAGCGCTTCGCAAAACTGTTTTCCCTATGGGCGATTTTCACTAGATGATGTTTCAGTCCGTGCTTCACAAGACAGGTTTTTTTCGGGACTGTTTTTCACTAGACGATTCTGACAGCTGAGTCCACGCTTTGCAAAACGATTTTTTAAGGGACGGGTTTTCGCAAGACTGATTTTGACAGCTGGGTCCATGCTTCACAAAACGGTTTTTCTATGGGTGATTTTCACAAAACGACAATTTTTTTCCCCTTTGGAACACATTAAATGGATTTCAGTGCATTCCAATGGGGAACCGCATTTCGCAAGACAATGTTTTCACAAGACAGCGATTTTCGCTGAACGAGTTAACATCGTCTTGCGAGGCACCACTAAATATAGCTTGGGGTGTCATCTGAACCCTAAACTGCAGCAAATTTTAACTGGTATTAATGGGAAAAAACCAAGTCCAAAACCTTTAATTTGAAGTTAGCTTGTTTTCTCTACCACAGTTTGTCTTGGCTGAATAGCATGACAAACAGTGGCTAATTTAAAACAAGTTTCTTCCTCACTGACAAATCAGTATGTTTATATGACAGTGTCCTAGCTTTGTTCTGATAAAGCTAAAACATAGTCAGGTTAGTCCACTGTATTTCTTGGAGGGCTAATGTTCTCCAGAGACTTATTAGGGACTCGATGAAAAGATCAGTGATAGTGGACAACCTGCCCCAAAGGCAATTTACATGTACACTTCCATCATTAGGATTTTTTAAATGTATATTCCACTTTTCCTTAAAAAACGTAGCAGCTAGCAAAAAAAAAAACCCACAATGAAATAAAAATAGTTCCACTTACAGAAACAGTTTTCATATAGTACACCTAAGAGCTAAGTAAAATAATTCAGCATAAATACAGAGGAAAGGTAGTTCAGTAAAATAAATGGGTCTTGGCTTGCCTGACATTTAATGGGGAGGCAGCCTCGCCCAGTAGCTCACTTCCATTACAAGCTTTGCTGAAATTTGTGACACTGCCAGTTCAGTGCCCTGCTATGAATGAAAAATATTGCCATTCAGTGCATTACATTAAAATTCATAGCATATTTTGGGGAAGACAAATACACTAAATCAAAATTATACCTCCCAAAATCTTTTTGATTTCTTTCTTTGATGTTAAATGTGCTGCCAGTTCTCCATTAACTGTGAGAATTTCTGCATCGGCTCCAGAATCCAGTAAGTAAGCAACCACTTCAGGATGATTCCGTTTGCAAGCCCAGTGTAAACATGTCCTATGTAAGAGAAATGTTGGTTTACTATGTATTTGTTATTGGAACAAAAGATGCCAAGAGACAACTCGCACAGATGCCTCAGTTGTCACCTGAAGGTGGCACAGAAGAATACTGATGCCTACCCAATACCATACACCCAATACCCTTCCATTTGCACTCAAGGGCCATTAATTTAGGCATTCTTCCCATGAAGCTCTATTCTCACTTGATGTGATGAATTGAGAGAGGAGCTGTAGCTGCAGGGTAAGCAGAAACGTTGCATGCAGCTCTTGCCAGTGGTAGGTCTAAACCTCAGCACTTCTGCCCAGGCAGAGATACAGTACGTAGGATCTTGCCAAAGACTGGAAAGCCACTACAAAAGACTAAGTAAGGAAACATACACGTGCATATGATAACCTCTTTAGACTATGGGAGTCATACTGCAGAAATATAGGAATACTCCCTAAAAAGGGCATCTTGCTTATCCCTATGCAAGTAGGAGGCCAATCAGTTCAGCGGTAGGTTGCTGCTTAAAGCAGTTAGATCAGAAAGTAATGCATGGAAACTGATCTCAGAAAAAAAACATGATTGCATCTTAGGCTTTCTGCCTTCTGTGAAACAGGCAACACAGTACCTTAAGGGCCAAAATTTTATAGTTGGGGCATAGCTGTGAGTTGGCTATTGCCTGATTGTGTTCCTATTAGATAATCTGAGTGTATTGCATCAGTACTCTATTATCTTCTTACTCAATCCACTGCTGTAAAACAAAAACAAGCGAGGAGGTGGAAGGTGAGTTGCAAGTGGAGGATGTCCACAGTCAATGTAAGATTCAGCAAGCAAGGCTGGTTTGACAATACCTTTCGTCTGGAACTGCTTCAGATCTCATGAATGGATGGAGATTGATGGGGTGGGGAGAGCGTGCTTGTGTAAATGTACCTCCTCGCTTGCCTTTAAATGAGAATAAAAATATTGAGCAATCCAATCACAAAGGTATTGAATTGCCGACTGAACGGTTCTCAAGTGTAAACTTCAGTCAGTTCTTGCAGAGCAAGTACTCACTAGTAGATACTTTATATAAATAATCACTACCACGATAAAATACCTGCAGTATTTGGGGAAACTATATCGACGTGCACTAGATAACCTATGCCCTTTGAGCACTCAAAAACATTAGGCGTTATCAAGAAGGGTCCAGGAGGGCCGCAAGCGAATGTACGGATTGCGCAGCCGTGGCGTTATCATTCCCAAACCGAAGCTGGAAAATCTGGTCTCTACGTTGCTGCTTATTCCTCACCCTGCCAGCCATGTATCCGAGTTAACCCGCGACAGGCTGCCTCCCGATTTGGACAGATGTCTGTGTAGAGAGGGTTACTTCCTTGGCGTAACCGCCTCTGGGAACCAGGAAGGAGGAGGAGACCGAGAGATCCAGAGGAGCAGCGGGGCTGGAGAGGGAAGGAGTGGAGCTGCATCATCTGCGTGTAACGCGTTGTCCTGTCGCGCCGCGGCTGGAAAGCGGAGAAGCTACCGGGGGGGAGGGGAGGGAGGACCAGAGCAGGGCGGAGGGGAGGAGGACGCGGAGAAGCAGAGGCGCCTTACCAGCCATTGATCTCATTCCGGGCATTGACCGCCACTCCCTTGTGGAGCAGCGCCTGCACCAGCTCGAGATCGCCCAGGGCAGCGGCTTCCCTGAGCCTCTCCTCCAGATGGCTGCTCATCCTTTCTCGCTCTCGCCCCGCCTTCCGCGCCCCTTCCTTCTGCCCACCAACCTCCTCCCCTGGGGCGGCTGCCTGGCCCAGCCGCGCACAGCGCCGTCAGCCCCGCGGGACCTCCAGCCGGGACGAGACGCCGCCGCCGCCGCCGCGTTAGTTGGCGGGAATCTTTTCTTTGTGACACCCGGAGCAGAAGCCTCCGGTTCCTAGGCGCCCTTGACGTGCGGGGCAGTGTTCCACCTCCTGCCCGAGGGAGAAGGGGGCGCCGCCTTCGGAAACCGACATGGCCGGGGAAGGAGGAGGGCGAGGAGGAGGCTTATTTAGTACGCTCTCGGATTAGTGATGCTCGCCCCGTTTCCTTGACAACAAAAGGAGTCTGTCGGGCAGTTCCGTGGACGAGGCGCTCTCCTCTATCGCCCCCTCAGACCCGAAAAGGGGTTCGACAACCACACACTCCAACGGGAGTATAAATAATATAGCAAAGCTTCTCTTGAAACACCTGTGTTATTTCCTAAGGTGGTTTTATACATCCAGCGGCCCCCAGTTGAAAGCTTCCCCCTAGTCAACAATTGTTTTTAAAGAAGGGAAAGCACACGCAACAGATACCGACCGATGAAAAAGAAAATGGATTAAATGCCCCTTGATGAAGCCCGAGATAAAATGCCACGTATAAACTCTGAGAGTGCACTTTAGCGCACAAACTGTAAGGTTGTTTGCCATTTAAGGTTCCTGATCATCAAGGCCAGCCCCTGCCAACGAGGCACGGTGGGGAAATTGAACACCCAACCTCAGGCTCCGCAACCAGATGCCTAACCAAAAGGTGTTCTTTAATTTCAATAAGGCTCTGTATATTCCAAAATACTGTATACAGTTTATAATAATGACCACTTCTAAAACTCAAAAGATGCATACATAT